GGAGACCATTCTATCAGCCAGGCTCACCCGGCGCCGCGGAAACAGCCAAATCATTGGCGTGTTCGCGGCCGTCCGAGATACAGCACAGCCAAAGCCAAGGGTTGCCCCGTGCCCCGGCGGGGTGCGGGTGCACCCAGAAAAATCGTTTCTTGTCTCAAGTACATTTTTCCTTGTTTCAAGAACACGCTGACACAAGATCAAATTTACTCTTGAAACAAGCGCTGATATTTCCTTTCCAATAAGAGAAAAATCTGATTTCAAATACAATATTGCATTGTTTCAATGGTGAATTCCATCTTGTGTCAGCTTGCACTTGAATCAAGAAACTATTTTTCTGGGTGTGGAAGGATGCTCATGCCACATCCTTTAGGCCTACGCACCACTAAAATCCGTTTTGCGACATACTAACTATGAATTTCTGCGGTTCATGGTGTTTTGTGCTAAAGGGCATGATAACTTTTAATCGCAAATCGGTGGCGAACTGTATTGCGATAGAATGTATGGGAAGAAAATAATATTTCAAAAATAAAAAGTGCACTCTAAAGTTGGACTGCGATTGACTACAGACACCGATTGATACAATGCTCCCAATGCTCAAAATGAAATTTCACAAGAAAAACAGATGCTGTAGATCGGTTGGTCAAATAAATACTACAACAACACATCTTATCGTCATTTAAGAAAACAAAAACGTCATGCGACACTAAATGACTTTTCTTTATCTGCAATTCAAAAACTGCCACCACCCCTTCCTGCCCTGTTGTTGCTTCCCCTGCTTCCACACCTGGCCACCGCCGCCGGCCCCCAGGGCCCACATTTCAATATATCCGCGGCTGGACCGCGACCGATAAAAGCAGAACGCGGACGGGGAATGCGTATCTGCGCCGTACAAGTGTGGCGACGGAGAGGAAGGGACGTATAAAAAATTGAAAATGGCGCGAATTTGATGGTCTGTAAACAGCGGGCGCCGTTAAGTCTGATGGAGCATACACCCACACCACACGTGGCCCTGCGCTGGCCGCTGCACACACTCCATTGAATTTAATTGCCTTTCATTTGACGTCACACGCGGATTTTTTGACGACATTAGCAATGAGGAGGACCGCAGTCCAGACATCGACACAATCGTCCGCCACTCGACCGGCTTATCTATGTTTGAAAGACTATGAAAAAACTTCAGGAGACAAAAAACAGGATTTTGTGGGCGACGCGGACCCGTCACAGGGCCGCCGCGCCTCAACACGAATTCTTGTTCGAGATTAAACAACTTTCGAAGAGAATCGGCACCGCGACAGAAAGAGTAAAGAGGAGGAGGCCCAGCAGGGCCCATGACCAGGATTGCAGCAGCACTCTCCCCTCCCCCATCCGATATTCACAGTTCATGAAATGTCACCCCTATTCGCACCGCCCGCCACAACAGCCACCCGGGCCACCCCTTGCCTCTGCTGGTGCGCGGCGTGGGGCGCGGCGGGGAGCGGAGGGGTGAGGAGGGGGTGGCGACGACGACCGTAGCGATTTGTTACGGATATCGCGGCCTTGCAGGCGCGCTCGGGGGCACGTTCGGCTGTCTCTCTCTTCCCCTGCCACGCTGTGCCTCTCTCTTTCCTTCCCCGACGCGTTTACCCTCTCTTCCTCTCTCCCTCTCCCTGCCTGTATCACATATCTCGCTCTCTCTCTCATACACACTCCCTCTCTTGCTCTCTCTCTTTCCTTTCATCCTTTACTTCCCCCTCCTCGGTATCAGGGCGCCAGACTACCAGCTTTATTAAAGTGACAATGTTTCAATTGCGAGTACAGTAGCAAAGCAGATTGAGGAGTAGGAAACCGACACGGATCACAGCTGAAGATGTTTCGGAATAAATAAACGAAAAGTGTCAAACTTTTAGAAACATGTAAGGCAGCCGAAGGCAGCGATAAACTTTGCACAGAAAAAAAAAACTTGGAGGATCATTTATCCGCGCAGCTTACTCTTCTACCTTTTATTAAAGAGAACAGCAAAGGTTATTGGAGGAATATTTTAACTTGGCCAAACACATCCAGGGTTGCTAGTGAAAGTCTTTCGGCGCAATATGTTTGGTGAAGTGGGGCGCCGTAATCAGTGGCATGAGCGCGCCCCGCGCCCTTGGACATACACACACTAAAACCCGCCCAAGCACACATGACACACACACAGCAACACACACACACAGCAACACACACACACACACACACAAAGGCGCGCGTGCGCGCACACGCACAACCCTCAGACAGGCGTCAAGCTGTAGAGTCCCCCGCGGGGGAGGCCGTCACCGCGCCGCTCGACCCCCGGCGGCGCCTGCCTCCCCGCGACCCCTCCGCCGCGCTCCGCAACGCCACGCCACCGCCCACCCCGCGGCATGGCGAATTTGTAATTGTTTGTCAGAGTTGTTTAAGGTATTCCGTCCCGGGCGCCATTTGATCCGCCTTGCGCAGCGTATATCGTGCGCGGGGCGACGTGTTAATATAGCAGTTTCGCTGGCCGCCCCGCCACACCACGCCCCGCCCCGCCCCGCCCCACCGGGACGCGCTCTACGCGCATTACACCCCGCTCGGTGCATATTAAAGCGCCACTCTAATTATTGCTCGACAAGTCTATCAGCGGACGCGGCCAACACAGCGAGCAGCGCAGGGCGCGCCCCGCCGCTCGGCCACGACACGATAGCTAAGAGCGTCAAATCCACCTCCTCGTTTACAACTGCATAATCAAAAACTCCTTCAGTCAAATTCAAATGTTTTGCAAAGACGATTAATGACGAGGAGGATGCACTGTCAAGACAGAGGTGTGGTGACGGTGGTGACCCCACTGCAGTCAAATAAGTCAAAGCCGGTGCTGATTGAGACTGTCTACACTGACTACCACACTCCACTTACTCTTCTCCTCACTTCCCTAATAAGCCCGCCCCAACTCTTCCTTCAGGTGGGTTATGTCACCTGACGCCAACAACAACAACAAACACCAACAACACCAACTCCCAATCAAACGATCCACAAGCGTGCTTTCTGGAACACCAGTATAGTGTGGTCTCGCAGAAAACCCTTCCCTTTCCCAGAATATCGCACGCGGTCAATCAGGTAGCGAGCAGCGAGCAGCAGCAGCGGGCAGGATGTCGCACTTGCTCCCTAATAATCAATAATCCTGCTCACTTTTGTTGAAGGCGCGCGGAGCGCAGGGAGGAAGTGCGGTGTTTAACGGGCTTGGGCTGGCATGCGCGCGCTCAGGGCACACACTCACTCACACACACACTCACTCACACACACACTCACACACACACTCACAGCCTTACACACACCCCAACGCGCGCACACACGCACAGCGAACACTTACCCTTGCGGCGGGCACGGACTCGCTTATGAAAGGGAGCTCGACTATCCGCTGTCAGTCTGCACCCCGTGCCACGACGAACCGTGCGGGCCCCGCTGCAGCAGCATAGGCTGCCGCAGGCCGAAGCGCTGCTGGAGACGAGACTGCCAGAGAGGAACCCCCAGAGGTGTCTACAGCGGAAAACATGATTGTGCCCCGTGGGAGAGCAGCGCTCTGAATGGGATTTTATTTAAAAGGTCAGATCGCGTACCCGGCTGCGCCCGGCCGGGGATGATGCAGCGCATTGCGCGACGGTGAGTCAGAGACAGAGATAATGTCATCCATTTCTATCTATCCATTCATTCGCAAGGGGTGTCAACTCCGGGAGCGAAACTGTCACCCAGCATTCGCAGAGCATGTGAAATCAGAGGAGGCGGGGGGGAGGGCGAAGAATCAGCTCACGATTGGTAGTTATTTAACGTTACATACCCATCGTTTCTTCTTTCCGTTCGCTGCTAGAGCCACTCTGCGTTTTATACACCTGCAGTAATTTACCTGTTCTGGTCTCCGACATGATGATCGGGACGCTCAAACGACCTGACAAGTCGACGAGATTGTATCTTAATTACCGCAATTTTAGCAGCCACCTTTTATACGCTGAGTGAAGCTTTTTACTGTCACCTGTGCCCTGCTGTCGGGCGAGAGGGGCGTTTGAGCCACGGGGGCCATTCGATGGCGACAATTTGACCTCCGTCCATTAGGCCATAAATGGACAATCGCCCCGAGCGCAATCTTGAGATAGAACTGAACTGATGTCATTCAAGAACGAAACCTCGACAATGCCGTGTGTCCCGTCGACGCTCCGCTCGTCGCGTTTCATGAAAAATTTACGATATACTACTGCTGCTTGTAAAAGCGTGCTAGCGAGCGATAATCTTGTCCCCTCCCGAATCCCTTCCCTCGGCACTCGACAGGAATTTCCAATCAAAATCCGGGCCCTTTCGTGGGTTTTCAAAAAGAGGAGTCGAGCGGGAAGGAAGGAATGGAAGGAGGAGGATGGGTGGAGGAGACAAGGAGAGAAAGAAGGGTGGGGAGGGGGGGGGTGAGGGGGGTGACGCAAGGCCAAGGTGCGCGAGGCGCGGCCGGCGGGCCTCCTGGAGGAGAGACGCCGCGAGACGAGACGGACCCGACGGGCCGCGCCGGTCGACAAGTGCTGCCCTCCAGCGGCCAGGGCAGGTACTGCGACCGCGGCGGGTAGGAAGGGGTACCCGCTCGGCCAGCGCACTCACTCCGACCGGAGCGGGAGGGAGGGAAAGGGGTGGGGAGCTGCGGTAAATATCGTCTGCTACGGAGAGAGGAGAGAGAGGTTATGTTGTCCTCTTCCCGAATGTGTCGGCGAGGGGGAGCAGGAGGCGAGGGCCGCGGCGGAAAGTCTCCACCGTGCGTACCGTCGGCTCCGCACGCGGCGGCGAAACATAACCAACGCACAACAACTTCTGAGCGGGTTGATTTTACTGCGGCACACAGCCCACCCTTTCGCTGGCACAGCGGAGCAGCGGCAGCTCGCCGACAAGACTCTGTTACACTGTTACACTGTTATTACCCACCTGCATTGTTGTCGGAAGCGGTGTGGTGGTCGGCAGCGGCAGCGGCAGCAGACAAGCTTTTGAAGTTTTGGGGCTCATGACTGGACCTGCGGACTGAACGACAGCGCGGCGGCGGAACTGACACGGCAGACGCACAAGCAGGCACGGCACGGCACGGAGTGATCTGCTCAGCTGGGCTGCGCGGGGCGGACACTGGCAGGCACGGCACGGCGCGCGCCATGCCGGGAGAGGGGCGGTGCGGCGGCAAGACGTACTACGAGGTCGTCGACAGCCATCTGAAGTGAGGCTATGGGGCCGGACTCCGCGAAGGCAAAATTGAGCTAATTGAACAGAATTTATTGGACCGGGTGAGAGCAGGTGTGTGCTTGTCCCGTTCCGTTAGGAGCGCGAGCCTGCCCATGCTCGTGATGCCCGGCCTGCCGCCCATGAAGAAGACCTCTCGGGTCCAAGACGGCGCCGCTGTCCCCCTGCCCCCCGACCCGAGGGTGCAGGAGACGAACCAGGCCTCCAGGTGCTTCAGGACCTTCATGGACTTCTTGGACTGCAGAGTGAGTAGAAGAAGGGTTACCGCCAACGCAAGGGAGGCTTTGGGTCTGGTGCGTCACGGGTGCCTACATGGACATAGTGCACTCAGTGAGTGGATGGTCTAAATGAGGGTGTAGGTGCGAGTTGCGTACCCCAACGCGCCCTCGTGCCCTCCACCTATTTCAGGCTGAAATCGCCCCCCTGACCCTTGGTAAAGGGAGGGGGTGGTGTATCGAAAGTTCCTACATACTGGAGTTTTATAGGTCAAATGGCCAATCTTTTGGTGGCTATCTAGTGGACCACAGAAAAGGAGGGGGGGGCGAGTCGCCCCAGCCCCACCCCCTCCCATTTAATACGCGCCTGTGTTCCAGGAACCAAAACTAGGAGTAAAGCAAAAGAATTTTGAAAGTTGACGTCGAACTTGTAGGGAACAGTTCTGAATTCCAAGTAATGTTTAATTCTTAAATCTGTTTTAATTTTATTGTTTCCCAGCACTACCTCAGTGAAGAGAATTATAACTGCGCTTTCCTGAAGGAGACGTACAATCGAATCTGCCCCTCGTTTTGGACGGAGCAGTGGTATGAACAGCTGAAGAAAGGAACCCACCCCGCTTGGGAGGAGCCCCCACCCCCAAAAATATGCGATGTTTGTCCGAAAGAGGAATGATGAATGTTGAATAAATGTGAGCAGCACCCATAAAAATGTCTAATGAAGTAAATTAACGTTCATCCATCTGCAGACGAATTCAAGATCAACTGTCCGCCAACAACCACTGTCCGTAGGTACACGATTGAATGGAAATTACATCAGCCTCAAAAAACCCTGACCACTTCCCGGGGACAGTGCCTTCTGTCTCTGTATTACCTCCCGAGCCCGAGCACCCTCACAACGGCGTGTTACCGATGCGTTACGGTGGTATTATTACGCCTACAGTGCCCCCGGTACTACGGTGGTACGTCGATGTGACGCGAGTGATAACCCCCTCGGTCCCTAATGCAAATTTCATTGTCCCCCACGAGTACCAATTTACTTGATTCAAGAACTGGCTTTTTCTAGATGAAGTAGTCACACCCCATATGTGCTGGCGTACATTGTCGGACGGGCTCGCTCCGTGGGCAGCTAACGACCGTGGCCCCGGCTGGCTCGTGTGCTTCGCGCCGTGCCCGTGTAGCGCCCGGCCGTGCCCCGTACAGGAGCGCCACTACTGTGCGCCACGTCATGTCGCCACCGCCATCTTGTGCCCGCACCATGAACTGGATGGCCCCCTTTCCCCGAGAAATACGCAAACCTCTCCCGCCACTTCATTATCGTCAACCCTTTCTGTACTCGCTACAGGAAGCCATCTCTCTATCTCAATGGTCCTTTACTTACCCCCTTCCTCCCCCCCTTCTCTCTCTCTCTCTCTCTCGCTCCCTCTCGCTCTCTCTCTCTCTCTCCTAGATGCAGCCGACCGACACTATCGCCGTGTTCTCGCGCTTTGACTCGAGTTGTCGCGCCATTGTGAGTCACGGAGGCCGCGTCCAGGATGTCGTCGACAAGGAGGATGGACTGGACGGCGCGCTGCCCCAGTAGCGTAGGCCGTAGGCCGCCGGGGCGGGCCGCCGGGGGACGCTGAGACAATGGCAGGAGACTCACTCGATTTCCGCTTCCAGCCTATCCCCGGCCGTGTCCCGTCCTGACAGAAATCGAAGTGTAACCTGCTGTAGAAAATTGGGGTTCCTAGAACTAAAGTTTTATTACTGAAAAATAAATGAAATATTTAACTTTTAACGATCAACACAGATTTATTATAATTTTCGTACAGTCCATTTAATTCTTTAACACAAAGATTTGTCCTTATTACTAGGTACCTGTACATTTCATACAAATAATAAGAGTAGTAAAAAAGATGGGGTGACGATGGGGTCTTTGGTTTCAATGGGTAAAACGAGGACGGAAAACCAGCAGAGCAGAAAACGGTTTGAAATAATTGATTCTGAATGTAAATGCTGTTTACGATAATTAAGTGTTAAGAACTGTACTTGCTAAAATAGGATTGACC